AGGCGGCGGGCAAGCGTGAGCTGAGCAGCACTAAGTTGATGTATTCCCTCCGCGACCAGCACGGATCAGCTCTAGGCATGTCGGAGCGGATATCGTCCTCTTTTGGAAGATCAAACAAAGTAGTTTCGCTTTCACAACGAAGCACACAGTGTCTTCAGGACATGGCGGCAGCGGCAACAATACTACAGCGAGAATAAAAGTTACTCCTTCTTTCTTTGCGTGAACATTTGGGCGGCGTTATGCATATCTTCCCACATAGTGAGGTAGATATGTGGGGGCGTGTTCGAACGAGCCGTTTTAGGTAGGTGTGGCTAACTCTTAACTTTTATAAAGAATATCTCTTTGGATTTGAGACTTTAGTCTTTGCAACTTTACAGATCTTCTTTATGCACCAAGAGCTTGTAACACTCTAAAGAGAAAGGAAAAAATGAAATCGCATCATATGACCCCTTTAAATAAAGTATCAGTGAAAGGTGGTGATTTACCTTTTTAAAATTTGTTTGTCCACCCCAGGAATCAAGTTAAATATTGTTTACTTAAAAAAAAAAAAAATTGCTTTGTTTATTCTCCAGAATGGGCAACTGACTTGCAGTTTTAGTCTCTTTAGGTGTTACTGTAACTAGTTTGCCACCAAATGTTAGTTTAAAGGTATTGATAAACTATTTATTTATTGTTTGATTTTGTTTATTATTCATTTATTTTATTTATTTATTCCAACAATTTTATGGGATGTTCCATTTGTGCTTACTAAAGAAGTTTTGTTCGTTCATTCATTCGTTCGTTTGTTCATTCGTTCGTTTGTTCATTCATTCATTCGTTCATTCATTCATTCATTTGTTTTATTAATTTCTTTTATTTATTTATTTATTTATTTCATTCATTTAGTTTGTTTGTTTGTTCATTCATTCGTTCATTGTTCATTCATTCATTCCTACGTTATGTAATGTTCCATTGTGTTTACTAAGGAAGAAGTTTGTTTATTTATTTATTTTATTTTTTATTCTAGTTTGATCTCTGTGTGAAGGTGACACAGATGAAGCAGAAGGAAATGGTCCTGGTACACATTGTGAGCCATTTACATCATATCAGCTCCCGACATCAGAGCTGGTTTCTCTAAGTTATCTATCACAGCTGATTCCTGTGAGATTGCATATGAATTCCCTCTCTCTCTCTCTCTCTCTCTCTCTCTCTCTCTTTCTCTCTCTTTCGACTATTTATTTATTGTTTGATTTTGTTTATTATTCATTTATTTTATTTATTTATTCCAACAATTTTATGGGATGTTCCATTTGTGCTTACTAAAGAAGTTTTGTTCGTTCATTCATTCGTTCGTTTGTTCATTCGTTCGTTTGTTCATTCATTCATTCGTTCATTCATTCATTCATTTGTTTTATTAATTTCTTTTATTTATTTATTTATTTATTTCATTCATTTAGTTTGTTTGTTTGTTCATTCATTCGTTCATTGTTCATTCATTCATTCCTACGTTATGTAATGTTCCATTGTGTTTACTAAGGAAGAAGTTTGTTTATTTATTTATTTTATTTTTTATTCATTTTTATTTATTTATTTTATTCCATACTATTTTATGGAATGTTCCATTGCATTTACTAAGGAAAATATAAAGATTTTAGAGAGTAAAGAGTTTAGACATGAATATGTTTTCAGCTTTACAAATACAGCATATACAGCTAATAAACTGGTTATGTATAAGGAGGTTTTCTTTGACTAAACGAGCAAGCTTACTGCTGAACATCTTTGATTGGAGATAAAGTTAATTAATCGTGCCTTCATTTCAGTGCTGAATTAATTAAAGCTCATTTTATTCACACGGTGGGAAGCATTTATGTTATGTTAGTTCTTGCAGAGAGTCAGGAAAGGGGCTGTTTATTTGTCGTCATGTTTTCTGTCTCCTGCTGCACTGTAATGGGCAAATCTATAAATCTTCCCGCTGGTTCGGCACAATGACCCTGGCTATTAAAGGAAGGAGAGCTGGGAACGCTTGTGTAAAAGTCTCTCCCCTCCTCCCTGGTTTCCAGCAGCAGACAGAGCGTGCTGTGAGATGGATGCTGGTTGGCGGTGATTGCTCATATTTCCAGACTCATTCTGAGCTCTGTGAATGCCACAGGTGGCTCTTTCCATTCAAACTTCACACGGAAAGTCCATGGAAAGTCAATAACTGATGCCTACCTATAAAAAAGTACCTAGTACTAATAAACTGCATGTACATATTAGGTAATTATTTAGTGGTGGTATTTGTATTGCACATTATTTTTAGTACTAAATTAGTTTATTATTGTAAAACTGTCAAATAAATGTGTCTTTTATATTGTTTGCCTTAAAATTCAGTGGAAAATTCAGTTTTTTTATGTGCATTGGCATTTGGATCAAGGAAAGCATTTGGCAAATGTGGTTTGCAAGTTTTGCAACCCTGTTTTCAAAATTTGAGAAATTTAGGAATAGTTTGAAACACTGATTTAATGATAAACATTAAATAAACAAAACAAAACAAACAAAAAGTTTGTTTGTGTACTTGCTTGATGTCTAGTTTGATCTCTGTGTGAAGGTGACACAGATGAAGCAGAAGGAAATGGTCCTGGTACACATTGTGAGCCATTTACATCATATCAGCTCCCGACATCAGAGCTGGTTTCTCTAAGTTATCTATCACAGCTGATTCCTGTGAGATTGCATATGAATTCCCTCTCTCTCTCTCTCTCTCTCTCTCTCTTTCTCTCTCTTTC